ACTGTGATATTCTTTGTTTTCTGGTTTTTTTTGTGCTGCTGTGTCAAAATGAATTTCTCCTCAGGGGGATAAATAAAGGACTCATCTCTTGTGCAGTACCTGTCGGGGACCACTAGATGTCAGCTAATCAACAGGGTATCTAACCAGCGGCATTGTGGCCGCTAGGTGGTAGCTCTGCACCAGGATTTCCTCCTCCCAGGTCGTCGAAACAACAAACCGAACTACGGAGCAAGCGGGGTGAGAGAACGTCCGAAACCGCCTCTGACCGCGACTTTTAAACTCTTTTTCTACAGAATTGTAGCGGAATTCAGACGGGGGCTGTGGAAGAAGAGCAAAAGTTACGATTCGGCCGGGACTACATTTCACAACAAGGTAAGTTAGCTGTAAAATGGCGGAGAGCTATCTGGAAGTTAGTTGATTTGTATTTTGCTAGCCGTCTCGCTAGCCAGGCTAGCTGTGGATGAGCCCAGAGCGCGGAGGTCTGCCTGAACCGAGTCGCTCCGCTAGCTCGGCTGTACATGGCTACTTCGATTGTTAGCACGCCGACGAACCGGATTTTGTGGCACACTGACGCGAAAATATTTAATCCTGAGCCGAAGGAATCGTTTTATTGTTTCAAGTGACTTAGTTGCACTTTATATATTTGTAAACAAAGTGTTTGTTGCTTATGCAATACGGTGCTGGAACTCCCGAGGCAAGATGGAGGACGCAAGGACGTGATGTTTTTTTAAGGTAACGTTAGCGGTAGCTGTTAGCGTAGCTAACTAGTGGGAGTTATTATCAGCTGGTTAAATGTAATATTTCTATTAAATTATTTGCTTTATCTTGAGACAAACACGTGCTACAACTGGTGTGTATACGGAAGGTAGTTATTGCCCCTTTTGAGACGCTACTGACTGGCGTTATTGTGTATTAGCCGATCTTAGCATTGCGTTGTTTTGTTATTATGATCCAAGTACGATAGCTGGCGTGTTTCCTCGATATCTAACGATAAAACACTGCACAACCCGGCCGCCACCCCTTGCTCGATAAATCGCAGCTTCTTCACACAGACCAGTGCATGCTTACTTGATCAAATTTCAACTAGCTGACGCTCGGGGAGGGAAAAAAGACGCCAAAAAAAAAAAAAAAAAACCCCTCGGTTGCTCAGCTAGTGGCGTTAGCAGTAGCAGCGCACCGGCGTCAATTTTGACAGGAGCCGACGGAGAGCGCAGCCGCGTCGGCGTCGTTGGAGGGAACCGAGCCGGTAGTTTGTGGCATAGCCGAGTTGCGGGAATCCACTCTGCTCGGTTTCGCAATTTCGTTTCAGCCAAGATCTCTCGGTCTCTGCTCGCAGTGATAAGTTTATGAGATAACTCTCGTCCGATTTGGCGCCACTTTTTCAGTCTACACCCATAGAAACCCGTCGTCTTGTCATGCAGTTTCCCCTCGCTGTTAAGGAAATAGGCACGTTAACGCGTTCATAAACCAAAATACATATCACAGTTAAGCAGCTATATT